GTTTAAAGACTGACTCTGGACTGACTGTACCTGAACCGGTTTAAAGACTGACTCTGGACCTGACAGTACCTGAACCGGTTTAAAGACTGACTCTGGACCTGATGGTACCTGCAGTCCCGACCGGCTTAAAGACTGACTATGGACCTGACGGTACCTGCAGTCCAACCTGTCTAAAGACTGACTCTGGACCTGATGATACCTGCAGTCCCGACCCGCTTAAAGACTGACTCTGGACCTGACGGTACCTGCAATCAAACCCATTAATAGACTGACTCTGGACTGACTGTACCTGCAATCCAACCCCTTTATAGACTGACTCTGGACCTGACGGTACCTGAAGTCCGACCCGTTTATAGACTGACTCTGGATCTGACGGTACCTGGACCAGTTTATAGACAGATCCTGGGCTTGACGGTACCTGCAGTCTGACCCGACAGAAACATCACAGGTCCCTGACCTATTCCTAGTAGTCCAGAACTGTTCTGGAGCTGCTGACCCGCTGGCGGTCAGGAAGAACCTGCAGAGGTCCAACAGCTCAGAGCATCTGATTGGTCAGCAGCTCTGAACAGAACTTCCTGGGAAGTCCAACCTGGTCTGGGGTGTAGAACGGGCCGACCCACCTTGTCTCCTCTTCATCGTCCTCATTATCCTTGGTAGAGCAGATGGACAGGCTCCCATCCACGAAGCTCCGCCCCCAAGCCTCCTGATTGGACAGAGGAGAAAATAGATGCTGTAGCAGCCGTGACCAGCAGGGGAGGAACTGCTTCTACTGGTTCCAGAGAAAAGACCAGGAGGCTGGTCCATACCGGGTCAGAACTAGGGTCTAGTTCAAGGGTCCTTTATTCTGGGACAGTTCTGGGTCGGTTCCGGTCCTTGGTCGGTTCTTGTTCCGGTTCTGGGTTGGTTCTGGTTCTGGGTCCGTTCTTGGTCTGGTTTTGGGTCCAGTTGTGGGTCTGGTTCTAGTTTAGGTTCTTGCTTGGTTCTGGGGTCGGTTCTGGGTCAAAGCTTGGTCTGGTTTTGGGTCTGCTTCCAGTTTAGGTTCTTGATTGGTTCTGGGGTCCGTTCTTGGTTCATTTTGGGTTCGGTTCTGGTTCTGGTTCAAAGCTTGGTCTGGTTCTGGGACTGTTCTTGGTTGTTTGCAGGATTAGTTCTGGATCCGGTTCTGGGTCAATGCTTGGTCTGGTTCTGGGACTGTTCTTGGTTGTTTGCAGGATTAGTTCTGGATCCGGTTCTGGGTCAATGCTTGGTCTGGTTCTGGGACTGTTCTTGGTTGTTTGCAGGATTAGTTCTGGATCCGGTTCTGGGTCAATGCTT